AAAAAGCTGAATCAACCCAAATTTCCAAGGGCCAGAGGAGGCATAAAGAAGCTAGGATGTGGTCTACAGTGGAACGCTATCCAGCCGTGCAATGAGTGAGCCGTAGCTTTGTACGTGATGATGAATTATTCTCATAAACATAATGGAAAAAAAGTGCAAATTCCAGGAAAAGACATATAAATAAGGACCACAAACATGCATTATGTTCTCTAATATATGTGACACACATACATTACCAGACATGTCTGTATACTGCGTATGTATTCTCACATTTCTGATGTCCTTGCCTTTCTCTGCAGATGTCTACTTTTACTGTATGTGTTATTTTATACTATATGTGGAGTGTATATAATACATAATTTATATATCAGCTTATGTATATTACATATAAATGTGTATGTACTATGCACCTCACTATATATTGCTCTACATGTTTACTCTGTATGTTTATTATACATAGTATTTTATATACGATTTTAACTTACAAATATATTTAAGTACTACAAATAGTCTAATATACAAACTGTGTCATTTATATGATAATCTTACTAGTTTTGTAATAATCATACAAAATTATATAGATAAAATACTACATACGTTATACGTATTTTGTCCATATACATCTCCATTATATCATATACGTATCTATATTATAGATCTATAACAACAGACCAGGGTGTGATAAACAGATTTCACTGCCCTCCCCGGACGGTTTTACATGTTTTGCAAACCGGGGTCACCTGTGTGCATGCTGGCCCGGCGCTGGGCCACCCGTGGACTCCCAGCGCTCTGAGCATCAGCGCCTGACGACCACGGGAGAGGCAACTACCTCAGATTCTGCCCACTGAAGTTCCGCTTTTAACTGGATAGGAAAATCACAGAGAAAGTGCAGATCTGTTCTAACACCCGGCCTCTCTTCAAATGTACACACAAAGCAATTCTGCAAGCAGAAACTTGGCGAGCATCCTGCTGGTTTTCAGTTTTCCCTCATAAGTCTCTTGTTTAGTTTTTGTGTTCATTTTCTCTTCCCACCACTTAGCTTCCTCGTCCCCAAAGCAGTGGTGCCTGGGTCAGGCACAGGGCGGAGGATGGACTGCAAAGGGGTGTGAGGGGCCTTCTGGGAGGGAAGAGGGACGGAGACCGTGGCCTCCTGGACACGCAGACCTGTGCGAACTCACCCAGCTGCTCTCTCCAGAGGGAAGCTCGCAGATGCACAGGTCAGTGCCCACATGCGATATGTCCCGGGTGATCTGGGGTCGTGCACCTCACGGCACTTCAAACCACAGGACAGGGCTGCCCCTCCACAGAGCAGTGTCAAGAGGGGGAGGCCCGAGCCTCTGCTGGGTGGCGGCTCTTGTCCTCACCCCCTCTGGCACAGAGGTCTCCTTTCCACTGTGTATGAGAGGAACAGGGTCACTCCCTGCAGGCACACATCCAGTAAGTAAGCCGTGGCACTGCCCTCGATGCATTTCCCTGACCCCCCCCCCCCCCCCCCCCCCGTGCAGGTGCGTTTCTCACCCAAACCCCACAGCCATGGGACAGCAGGCTGGCTGGGTACGGATCGCCCATATCAGGCCGTCAGAGCGCTGACCACGTGCCAGGTTGTGAAAGACAGTTAGAAGGCAGGCAGGCAGGGACAAGGGGCCTCCACTCTAAGAGGAAACCACCATTAAACCTTTTTTTAAAGATCTTATTTATTTATTTATTTATTTTTTTAAAGATTTTATTCATTCATTTGAGAGAGAGAGAATGAGAGATAGAGAGCACGAGAGGGAAGAGGGCCAGAGGGAGAAGCAGACTCCCCGCCGAGCAGGGAGCCCGACGCGGGACTCGATCCCGCGACTCCAGGATCATGACCTGAGCGGAAGGCAGTCGCCCAACCAACTGAGCCACCCAGGCGCCCAAGATCTTATTTATTTATTTAGTAGAGAGAGTGCGTGCACAGGCAAGAGAGAGAAAGAACAAGTGGGGCTGGGGGGCCAAGGAAGAAGCAGACCCCCGGCCGAGCAGGGAGCCCAATGCGGGGCTCGATCCCAGGACCCTGGGATCGTGACCTGAGCCGAAGGCAGACGCTTAGCGACTGAGCCACCCAGACGCCCCTGAATTTAAGTTTTTAAAATAGTGTTTTGAGGTGTTGAGATAACTTTCAGGGCTCAAGATGCATGGAGCCGCTCCGGCCATCACTTCTGGTCCCTGCAGGTGCTCCAAGGACCCAGTCCCTGCAGTGTCCCCACACACCACCCACCCCGGGCTCCGTCCTTACTTCCTTGTTCCTTCCGACCCCAAACAAGTGTGACTGTGTGGCCCCCCGTCAATCCGAAATATTCTGTTTTCCTCTTCTTGTTCTCTTTAGTCTATAGAAGCTCCCTGCCTTGCACCGCTTTGCAAAGTGTTAAGTTAGGTTCGCATCACCTCCATCATCTCCTTTAATCATTTAACAGGTGAAGATGAGAATACTATCTCTGGAAGTCCAGTGGCGGGCCGCACTGCCTCGCAGCCAGCCGGCAGGGAGCTGAGGCCCATCCCGCACTCTGGCCCCGGACTGCAGGTCTCTCTCTAAGTAAACATTCTTTTGCCTGGTTTGCTGGTAACCATCGTCTATTAACTGTCTCCCTCAAACGAGTCCATTTAACTTGCATGTGGAGAACACTCACACATCCGAGTTATTCTCTGATTATCCACTTTGTGGTGAAAAAGGAGGTGGATCTCTATGTACGGACATGGAAAGATCTTACGATAAATGAAGTGAAATAAGGTGTATCACGGTGCATTCAGGCTGCTGCCACTTGTGTCAAGAATTGTCAATTAACTGTTTAAAAGGCCAGGAAAAGAAGAACAAAGAACAAACTGAAAAGAAATTGTAAAATGGTGGACTTAATCCCAAACGGAACTGTAATTGCATCGGATGGAAAAGAGATAAACACTCCCATCAAAAGCAAACGTGAGGGGCGCCTGGGTGGCTCAATTGGTTAAGCGACTGCCTTCGGCGCAGGTCATGATCCTGGAGTCCCGGGATCGAGTCCCACGTTGGGCTCCCTGCTCGGCGGGGAGTCGGCTTCTCCCTCTGACCCTCCCCCCTCTCATGCTCTCTCTCTCTCCTTCTCTCAATAAATAAAAATCTTTAAAAAAAAAAAAAGCAAACATGAACAGATTGGATTAAAAGAGTGAGGTCCATGGGGCGCCGGGGTGGCTCAGTCGTTAAGCGTCTGCCTTCGGCTCAGGTCATGATCCCAGGGTCCTGGGATCGAGCCCCACATCGGGCTCCCTGCTCAGCGGGAAGCCTGCTTCTCCCTCTCCCACTCCCCCTGCTTGTGTTCCCTCTCTCGCTGTGTCTCTCTGTCAAATAAATAAATAAAATCTTAAAAAAAAAAAAGGAGTAAGGTCCTGCTATATGCTTTCTGTAAAGCCCTCTTTAAATATCAATGAACACAACAGACAACGAACACAGATTGGGTAGTTAAACAGAAATTTTTTCTCTCAGTTCTGGAGGTGGGACATCTGAAATCAAGGTGTTAGCGGGCCTGTTTCTCCTGGATGCTCCGAGGGGGAAGCCATTGTCTGTGCCTCTCCAGCTTCTAGTGGTTGCCCACAACCCCTGACTGTTCTTGGCCTCTGCACCCACCACTTCCTCTGTCTCGTTCCTCACATGCTCTTCTCTTTCGTGTTCTGTCCAAGTTTTTTCCATCTCATGAGGACACCGGTCATTGGATTAGGGCCTGCTCAATCCAGTGTGACCTCACTCAACTTGACAACATCTGTGAAGACCCTATTTCCTATAAGGTCACATCCATGGGTCCTAGAGGCTGGGACTGGAGCATGTCTTTTTAGGGGACACAACTGAATCCAAGACACTATGCAAACACTGATCAAAAGCAAGCTGGAAGTTAGCTCGATTCGCATCACACACAACAGACTCTAGAACAGGACATGTTATGGGAAGAAGAAGGAATATTTGGGCGCCTGGGTGGCTCAGTTGGCTAAGTGACTGCCTTCGGCTCAGGTCATGATCCTGGAGTCCCGGGATCAAGTCCTGCATCGGGCTCCCTGCTCAGCAGGGAGTCTGCTTCTCCCTCTGACCCTCTTCAGTCTCGTGCTCTCTATCTCTCATTCTCTCCCTCTCAAATAAATAAATAAAATCTTTAAAAAAAATAAAAAAAAGAAAAAAAAAGAAAAAGGAATATTTAAAATGGTAAAGGGGGTCAGTTCATTAAAAAGGCTAATCAACCCTCATCATGTGTCTGCTCCAGAACACGACAGCCCATAAAGAAGACATGGGACAAGACAAAGGGGAAATAGACAAATCCATCACCAGAAGTGGAGATTTCGACATCTCTCTCTGAGCAATGGTAGAGCCAGCACACACAAAATCAGAAAGGTTTTCGAATATTTGAACACCGCAGTCCACCCACTTGACCTGCCACAGAACACTCTATCCAGCAGCAGCGGTACCTTTTCCAAGTGTACGGGGAACCTTCACCAAGGTGGGCCATGCTACGGACATAAAGCAAATCTCAAATTTTAAAAAGGACTGAAATCCTACAAAGTATGTTCTCTGGCCACCACATCATTACACAAGAAACTAATTTTGGAAACATACCTGGAAAATCCTCACATTTTTGGAAATCAAGGACACATTTCCAAGTAAACCGTGGGTCCGAGAAGAAATCATCACGGAAATTAGAAACACCATTCTCAACAGAAAGCACCACGTAATTGTGCGGGGTACAACTAAAGTAGTGTGTAGAGGGAGAATCACAGCCTTCAAACGTATGTGAGATTCCGACCCTCGTCTCTCCCATTGTTATTTTATAAGGGTCATGAAAGTTGACTTCTTTAATTTTCCTGATCCTTTTGCATTTATTAGCTAAAATTCTTCTTGATAGAACCAACTATTTTACCTTGAAGTATAAGGTAAAATATGAAAGGCAAGACTAATTACTTTTTGCTTGAGTCTTTGGTTTATTTTCAGAGTCATGACACGATGCTCAGCAATATTCACCTGAGATTATACACGATTTTTTATTCTTAGAAGCTCACATGGTCCCGGGTGGGGCGGGTACTCTTGAAGCTGGCTTCTCAGTCCTTCCCCCCTCCCCAACAATTTACTATAAAATGTGCAAACATTTGAAAAGTTGAAAGAACTTCTCAGGAAACAGTTACAAACCTACAGCCACGACTCTGCAGTGATCACTTTTCTTTGATCGGCATCTCCAACGCTACTACCTTCTCAGAGCCTGTTTTCAGTTCATGGGTCTCCTTCTAGGTCTTTCTCTGGGCACCGTACATATTTCCCTGTCGTGACAGTCTGCTAGGGGCAGCCATAACAGAATACCACTGAGCGGGTCTTACAGTTCTGCAGCCTGGACATCCAAGGTCAAGGTGCGAGCAGGTCTGATTTCTCCGGAGGCCTCTCGGGACATGGGCAGAGGCTGCGGGTCCCACCGCTATTTCTCCTGTCTGACAACCCGGTGCCGATGTCAGCTGGGGAGTTCCGTTGCTCCCGACCCGGGGCCCTGCCACATTCTGCTTGAGTATCCTCAGGACACGCGGTGGTTAGCTTCTTTCAGAGCCAGTGAGCTGAGAGAAGACACTGCGTTCCAGGTGGAGATCTACCATTTTTAGGACGTAGATTTGGAGGGGACATAGCGTCACTCTGCGCCATCCTATTCTGTAGAGTGATTAAGTGCACTTGCCCTGTAGGGGAGCAGGGTCTGGCTTGGAATTGATGAACCCATCACAGATGAACATGGACGCCCACTTCTGGGATGCTTCCATTCCTGAACATTGTCTCTCTTAACACTGTAATTCTAAGATGGCAAGAATCGTGCATTCCTCGCTCACCCCCATACCCTCAATGGAGCACCCCCCACTTGGGCCCCTCACACACTCAGAACTGCTACTGCGGCGTGTCTCAGACCTTTGGGGGTGGTGGGACAGCTGACGGTCTGCGGGCACTCTCTCCAACACGAAGACATGTCTTCTGAAAACACACAGAGGTTGTTTTGCATTGGGGGCACATTCACGTCACCTGTGTTAAAGGGGGCTCTGGGCTGGCTCTGTATGAAGAACATGGGACTCTTGATCTCAGGGTTGTGAGTTCAAGACCCACGTTGGGCATAAAGATTTTGTACATAAATAAATTTTAAATATATATACATATATTAAGGGGCGCCTGGGTGGCTCAGTCGGTTAAGCACCTGCCTTCCACTCAGGTCATGATCTCAGGGTCCTGGATTGAGTCCCGCATCCAGCTCCCTGCTCAGCGGGGAGTCTGCTTCTCCCTCTGTCCCTCCCCCCTGCTTATGCTCTCTCTCTCAAATAAGTAAATAAAATCTTTAAATATATATATAGAGAGAGAAAAAAATTAATAAAAACCATGACAAGGCCCCTCTCGGGAATCAGTGACGAGCAGTCAGGGGCTCCGCGCTGCACATGCATGCCCCAAAAGCCTTCCCCAAGACATACATAAGCTGCCCAACTGAGGTCAGCCGTTTCCAAGCTTTTCTGTGAATATCTGCTTCCTGTTGGTGGATCTGTCATCTTCAGCACTTTCTACAAGAGAAGAGCTGGCAGAACCCAGTGACGGATGAAAACTGCGGATGCAACTAGAAATTAAGCCAACTCTGACCTCCAGGGGAAACCGGTCTGCCCGCACAGACGGGCAAACTGAGGCAGGGAGGCCACAGAGCTGGAAGCAGGACGGCGAGGCTTCAAACCCAGTGTCAGGCAAGTCGAGAACGTTCTGTTTAAAATAAGCCCCCGTGTTGTTTCGACTGAGGGGAAAATACATCGGACGTTAAATGTAGCTCTGGCTGCTTTTCCGTGCGCAGTGGAGGCGTCCGGAGCACACCGGCGCGGCTGTGCGGTCGTCCCCCCCGCACGCCTCAGGACGTCCCGCGTCCCCACCCTGAGCCTCGGGCCCCGGCACACACCGACCCCCACCGGACTCCTTCCCACTGCAGCCCACCCGCTCCTGACGCGCCCCCACCGCACCTGCCAGCTCTGGGCCCGCCCCTCGGCAGCAGGCCCCACCCCGCGGCGGCAGGCCCCGCCCACCCACGCGACCCCCACCCACGCGCGCTCGCGCGTCTGAGGGCGGAGGCCTCCGCGGGCTGAACCACGGTGCCCGTCGGAATGGGGGAAGGCGGAATTGCCGCCGCCGCCGTCGTGGGCTCGGGCGTAAGTGATTCAAGCAACTCGCCTTCATTTTGGTGTGGCGCCGGACAGGCGTCTCTCCAGCAGTGCTGGCCATCTCTGTGCCGCCAGGAGTTCCTTTTCTATTTTGGAATCGTCCATTCTTTTGCCCAGTCAGTAGACGAGTCTAAAAACTCACACGGAGAGGGGGAACTTACCCCTGTGAACGGAAATACCTGTCTGGTGAAAGGCTGAGATCTCACAACCGAGAGCACTCGATGAGCTCGGAGCTTGTTCTAGGGTGTACTGTAGCGCTCTGTGGTCGTGCAATTTCGGTTACTAAGCCGGTCGCTCGCCCCTCCCTCGGCGCCACCAGTGGTTTGCCCCGCGACGCAGCGCCCGCCGGGAAAAGGCAGGGAGTGGCTGCCATGTTGGACGGAACCACCCGGCAGCACGGACGGGGGCACCCGCGGCTCCCCGTGAGTCTGTGGATTGAGCCCTGCAAGTGTGGTGCGGGGCTTCGAGCGCGCGCGTGTGATGGGCGCGCTTCCGTGGTCCCCGGTGCACACGCTTGCGCCCCCGGGGTCCCTCCGGGCGCGCTGCGAGCATCAGGGCGTGGGCGCCCCCCCTCCCCGAGCCCCGTGGGTCGGCCCGCCGCACGCACATGGCCCGGCGGCAGGCGCCGCGCGGTGCGGCCTGGGAGAGTCGGAAGCGCGGCGAGGCCGGGCGAGGCGGCGGCGGCGGCCCCATGCAGGACGCGGAGAACGTGGCGGCGCCCGAGGCGGCCGAGCCCACCGGGCAGCAGCAGCAGCAGCAGGCGGCCGCTGAGCCGCCGCCGGGGGAGGAGCCGCCGCGGCCCGCGGGGCCCGGCGCGCAGGAGGCGGCGGGCGGCGAAGACGCGGAGGCCGGGCGGGAGCCCGACGTGCTGGCCAAGCCGGCCGAACCCGCGGCCGACGGGGAGGATAGGGCGGCCTTGGCCCCCGGCTCGTCCTTGCCGCCGCCGTCTGAGGAGCCCCCCGCCCCGGCCGCGGGTGAAGCCCCGGCGGAACAGGCCGGGGACGCGGGGGCCGAGGCCCGGTCCGAGGGGGCGGGCGGGGAGGATGGCGGCGCCGACGAGCCCTCCTTCAGCGACCCCGAGGACTTCGTGGACGACGTGAGCGAGGAAGGTGAGGCGGCGCGGGGGTGGGTGGGCGGTAGGGCCGTCCCCGCGCTGCACCTGTCGTCCGGCGCGTAGGGACGGTCTTCTGGGGGGTGTTTGGGTCTCCTTTCCTGTTTTGTCTCTCCGAAATAAGGCGGGGGAGGGCGGGCACCTTGGGGACAACTTGGGAGCCTCCCGTGTGCCCTGGAACCAGGAACTTGGAGGGTGGTGATGGGCGGCAGCGCGCAAGCCGGAGCCTCGGCCGTGTGTGGCAGTTAAGGTCGAGCAAAGCGGGACGCTCCACGTGCCGCACTCTCTCGGGTGACAGTTCCTTGTCTGCAGGCCCGGGTGCCCCGAGTGACAAGCCACAGCTGTCAGAGGCCTGGGACCAACTTCGTGAGGACACTTTTTGGGGTTGATGCGTGCTGTCCCTTAGAACAGGTTGTGGCAGAGTTGGGTTCCTCTGCCCCTGCTGCATGGGAGCTTCTGCCTCCAGAGAGTTCCTTCGCAGGACTGCTGAGCCTACCGCCACATTCCTGTTTGGTTCTAAGTCCCTACGTGGACCACTATCCTCCTGTTGGCAGATGATCTTTTCAGAATTTAGTGTTGCTTTGCTTTCCTTTTTACCTTGATTCAGTTTACAGGTGTTATGTCTGCTTTTGTCCTGAGAGCTTGTCTCCTAACGACTTCTGTAGGTGGCCAAGCTCATTTGTTTTTGTTCCTTTATGTTTTTAGCCGTTTGAACTCTTCGCGCTGTGAGGACATCAGTGGATTCCTCTACATCATAGTAAAGTAGAAAGATAAGCCATCTGTGAAGCAGCTCAGGCTACACCAAGAAAATAAGATGTCACATGAAGATACGGTTTTTTTTTTTTTGAGTATTGCGTCTGATCACACTGAGTTAGAATCAGAGAATCTCAAGTAAAAAAAACATAGGGAACTACCAGCATCGTCTACTTTTAGGCGTAATAATAAAGAGCTAGCTGTTATTGTCACTATCCTTACGGTCTATTTCATAAGAGACACGATGGCATGAGCAGCAGGAAAGGCTGCACATCTCGGGAACACTTGGGCTGCTGGTCCAGCTGGGGTCCCCTACCTGCAAGAAAACGTGTTCCCCGTGGTGGGGTAGGTGGCGGAGAATTTACAAGGAGGCAGTGTCACTGGGACCCGCACCACTCTCTCTTGCCCTGATAGCATTCATTTTTACTGCACCAATTTTTCTTATATTTTAAAATTTAAGTTTTGGGTTGAAAGTCCATTTTAAGCCCCTGAGTGTTTACTCTGCAGTTGTTTTTTTAAAAAGCAGTTGTTTGAGCACAAGATTATTAACTGGGCTGTGTGACAGGATGCTGATGTGGGCACAAGCCAGCCAGGCCAAGTGACTGCCGGGAGGGCCTTTGGGGGCCCTTGTGATCCTGATACTTTTTGCCAGAGTGCCCCAAAAGGCCCCTGGTCCTGGGGATCCAAAACTGAGCACATCGCCAGTGTTTTTGAGGCCATCTGGTTGTGGTCAGTAGGCCAAGTACATTTTGTGTTTAATGAGAAGAACTGGCCTGCGGGGTCAGAGAGATGGCCGAAGGTATGGGTGGTGTGAAAGCAGATGGGGTCTCATGAGTCCCCTGGAGGTAACCGCAGCTCCAGCGTGTTCGTCCGGACTCCTGATTCTGAGATGTTAGACTGTTGCCCCGTTGCCTTGTTCCCGCAGTCATGGGTCATCCATTTAAATTTTCAGCTGTCTTTGATGCTCAGCCAGACAAGTGCATGACAAAGTTGGGTCTGTTTGTGAGAGGGAGAAGCAGACCCCCTCCCTCCCACACCCTGCTGAACAGGGAGCTCGACATGGGACTCAGTCCCAGGACCCTGTCCCAGGACCCTGAGATCACACCCTGAGCTGAAGGCAGATGCTTAATCAACTGAGCCACCCAGGCGCCCCCATGACGAAGTTCTTAATTCGGGATGGTTTCTTTCGGGGCCTGTCAAATATTATTTATCTTTACATTTGGTATTTAGTTTTGAGAATTGCTTTTTCCTGTTTCTCCTGGAGCCAGGTTGGGAATCAATTCGGCAAGAGTGACCAGACGCGTGGGCTGGTGATGATGAAGGAAATGTCTCTTCATTGTGCAGTTGCTGTGTTTATTCACTTACCGTATATGGGCACATTCTTATAAACTATAGACACTTAAAGATTGTGGGAAGGAGTCCACTGTTTGTATAAAAGCTGAGCTTTTTATTGTAAACCTTGTAAATTCAGATCAGGCTAAACAGGCCATTTAATTGTATGGTAAGTGTGCTTTAAAAACAACCCATGGAGCTGACTCCAGCCTCACTGGTTGAAGGTGTCTCCCATTGCTGTGAGTCTGGTTGGCCTCTTTCCTTCTTTTTTCTCTTTGCTTGCTCTCAATTTTAGCCTCTTTGAAGTTTAAGAGGTAATTCTTTTTTTAAAGTAATGTTTTTAATATCATTTATGAAAGTATTGAAATTAATTAAAGAGTTTATAACAGGGCTTGCTTCTTGAAATTAAAAGACTTTTCCTTTTTGAAAGACCTTTTTAACTTTTTACTACGGAAAATTTCTAGTGCAGAAGTGGAGAGAATTCGTCTTGTGGGGGAGAGAATTCGTCTTGTGGGGATGAAATGCAGCAAGGGATGTTTTCGGACATGTATCCTGTTTAGCATGTTGCAATTCTTAAGAGTAGAATTCAAAGCTTGGAGTAATAATTAGGTTCCAGGACACGTAGTACACAAGTAAAAGCCACCACCATTCCTTAGCTGTTTCAGAGTTACCTCAGACTCTCCTTTGGGCTGTATGTCCTGCTGTAGATTCATCTGACCTTGTGCTTTCATC